TTTAGTCTAAGGGCAAAAAGGGCATTTAGATAAACAGCTGGACTGTTAACTATGACCGAGGGACCAAAATTGAAAGAAAACTTTAAAATAATGACCAAAATTACAACCCAATTCTTTTAGTGACCAAAACCGAAAATTTCAGCTAAACTCAGAGATCAAGATTGTAATTTACTCAAAAACTAATCAAAACAATCCTCTTTTTAACTGTTTGGTTCATTGTAATTCTTCTTTATTCAATGTTCATTGAAATTTTCTTATTTTAAAATTTAAAGGGTTTAATATAATCAGACTTTTATTAAATATAAGGTTAGAGGAGTTCTGATATAGCAACAAGGCAAAAATATATGAATGGTGTGTCAAGAACATTTAACTTTTTTTTTGTTTTTTTTTTTTGACTTATAAACAACATAAATGGGATTTTTCCAGAGGTTTCCTTAAAGTTTGCTAGTGGTGCTTCTATGATTCTTAAACCTGAGAACTACCTTGTACATGGGGATCCTCTTGTGAGTGTTCTTTAAGTGTCTCTAAAATTTACATTTTTATACAAATTTATGAGTGGGTCAAAGATTGGGTAACAAAAAGTTTGACTTTTTTCACGTGTGGTTAGGATGGAGGTACACCATGGTGTATTGGCTTTCAGAGAATCTAGAATGGTGTGTCAATTCTTAGAGGTTAGTTAAAATATAGTAAATGACAATTTTACCCTCAAGACTCCACTTATTGTATAGACTTATTTTTATTTTTTTATTCTTGTGGCGTTTCATAATTGAGACAAAATTCAATAAAAATGTTGACATTGGTTTTAAAGTTCAATAAACTCTTCTGTTTTTGCAAAAACACCAAAATACCCTTATCATCTATTTTTAAATAAGACACCGGTTTATTAATTTTTTATTTCATTTCATTCCAAGAACATTTAACTGATCTTTTTTTTTTTGACTTATAAACAACATAAATGGGATTTTTCATGAGGTTTCCTTAACCTTTGCTGGTGGTGCTTCCATGATTCATATACATGAGAACTACCTTGTCCCATCACAGTATGTATTGCTGAAGGGTATTTTAGGAAATATTAAACTTTTTTAAGGGATTTTGACCAGGTTAGTAGCATATTATTTTTATTGCAAGTAGCTTCTGAGGTTTTCATGCTTTTCTTTTGTTTTTACTATTTAGGTCATGGCATAGATCGAAGTAATTAGTCTTAATTTCTTAATCGAGACATTTTTTTGATGATCTGACAGGTAGTGATGAAAGTTCTAAGAGGATCACTTCGGTTTTGGTTTTTGAAGATCATGTCTTGGGATTTGCTGTGATTGAGGATCAATGTTTGGATTTCATGTCTCAGTATGAGATGATGTCAACCCATCATCATCATCGATTAGTATAAATTTCCTTTAGAATTTCATATAAAAGAGTTCTATTGAGTTTATGCTTGATAAAATGTTGTAAGTTTTGATTATGGTACATGTAAGATGCTTTTACACCCATATAAATCCTACTTTATGTTCTTATTGCAACATAGTCTTCAAAAAAATCATACCAACTAGTGTAGCAATGACTACAGAAACAAGGTTAGTAAATCCCATATTTTTATGTATTTGTTTGTGTCTTTCTTCTTGCTTAAATCAAAATCTCTATCTATCAAATGGAATTTTCTTTTGGTCCAAAATCTCTATCTCTCTCTCTCTCTCTCTCTCTATATATATATATATATATATATATAATATATAGGACTGTTTCTTTTGGGTTAATCAAGGGAGAGATCTTTATGAGTTCACAAGGATAAAGTTGTCATTTTTACTCATATCTTGATTTCTTAAAGGTATGTGAAATTGAGTTTATGGTTATAACAAGAAAATTTGTATCGTTATATGAGAAGGGTAAAACGGTCATTTAATAGTATTTAGTCCAAAAAACAGTGTTTATATGAGAAGGGTAAAATTGTCATTTTTACTCATATCTTGATTTCTTGGAGGACGCATCATTGAAGCCCAAATCATATCCGGTAGATTCTTTAACGAGACTACTTATATACATCGCATGAAGTTAACTTTGCCTGATAAAGAAAATCATGTAATTCCCCGTAATTATTTGTTTTGCTATGACAATTAACAAAAGTCAAGGACAGTCATCAAACAACACGTTTTCCCATAAATTTTCTTTTTTAATCATTGTGTAATGTCTATAGACGTTTCTATGTTTTTTATGTGTTCCCCGCGTTTAACGCGGGTTATAATCTAGTTGTATATAGTAACAGAAAAACCAAAGTTTGCAGTTTCGCATCAACATATATCAATTTAGTTGTCTATTTATAGTAGTCGGTAGACAAAAGATTATAAATTTTGATATAGTAATTCGATATATATATATATATATATATATATAATATATATATATATATATATATATGGATAGTTTTTGTACAACAAAAAAAGGAACTGCCTGATTCACTGACATTTGCAAGTTATAGTTGTTGCGATAAAACTTTTATCCAAAAATAAGTTATTGTTTTAGCATATATGAAAATTGGTTGCTTAAACTGGAAAATAACAATTTTTTTATATCACTAACCATATGTTAATGGTCATTTTGTAATAAAAAGTATAATATTTTATTTTTATTTATATTTTAAAGTTAACTAGATTATAACTCGCGTTAAACGAGGGGAACACATAACATAAAAACGTCTATAGATATTGCATAATAATTAAAAAAGAAAATTTATGGGAAACAAATGAAAACAAACATAAACTTCAAAATCAAAACAAATTACTTGTTAAACAAATCCATAAACAAACAATAAAAAAAGTCTTCAAACTAAAATGTCAAATAATGATGAATGACTTAAACTTATTCAAACTTTTCCATTTTTGGGATCTTCAAGGAAGGAGCAACAACACCATCTTTCGAAGAAGACCATTCAAATGATTCAGTGGTGGTAAAAATCTCAATAGGTTGTTTGACTGAATTAGTTGTTGACGATAACAATCTCAAATGATTCGGTGGTGGTAGGATAGTACGTTTGATTTTATCATCAATAATCATCTCAGAGTTCAATGATGAGAATTGTATAATTAATATTCGAGTGTGTACTATATGAATAAGGGAATGAAGAAAACCATGGATATAGCAACCCAAAAATGTTGAAAAATAATAGATATTTTAGACTATAAGGACAATGGTCTCTTTCGATGAACTATGAGAACAAAAATGAAGGCATATACATATGAATATACTTTCTTTATGAAATGAACTTACAGGAAGTGTCTCCTATATTACATCATCGCTCACATTTTCATCATCTCCAAGTAATAAGGCCTTGCACATTCTGTTATATACATTGCAAATTAACATAATCCTGTTGTAAAGGGGAATAGACAATTTTCAAAAACACACACACACACACACACGCATGCCTGAAATTGTCAACAAGAATGGTTACTTCAAATGCCAACAGAGGAAGGAAGACAACCCGCAAGATTACAGGTTTAGACTTATTAACTAAACAAAACAAAATTAGTATGGAATTAGAAGCTTGAATAAAAACAATATACATTATATTATTATGTTAACAGTTAATAGAATAACATCATATGTTACAATAATATCCTTCAAACTATAACAACCACCAATCTTTCATAGGATTACGAGTTTTTATAGCTTGGATGTGTGAAGGCTTGTTGCAATAAGTTTTCTGTCATTGATGCACTTACAACTTTTCTTGAGACCTCTGAGGCATTTTATCGAATGGGTGGTGAGCGAGAGCTGAAAATTTCCACTCACGCTAAATGGAAAGCTACATATCTTAATCCTTCACGAGGATTCCAAGTTACGACTGGGGAGATGGTTTTGCAATACGCTACAATCATCCATACAATCAAAAATGAGTTTGAAGATGAGTAAGCATTCTTCAAATTTAATTATCAGCAAGAAAATCAACTCAAAGAGGAGAAAATTATAAACTTCTGTCCAAGCTAATAAGAGCGCTCTAAAGCCATAATCACATAGAAGATTTTTCGATAGCAAGAGTTCATTTGATTCTCGAATGATGGTACATATCGTCTATAGGGTGAGGGAAGGGAGCAGGTCCTGAACAACAATGACTCCGACTAGTGTTTTACAGGGAGAGGGAAGAAGTTTTAGGTAAGCATGTGAGGGTTAACGGGGAATGGATAGTAGGTTACCTTCTTGTAGGTTGTAGCGATACGGAGGGTGGTGGTAATAAACGTTTGCCGGAGACTCAACATATAAAGGGAAGAGAAATAGGAGATGTGGTTTGACGATGCTATTGGTGTGTTGAGGAGATTAGGGTTTTCAACATGTAGAAGGTGAGATTGTAAGTTACGACCGGACGCGGGTGTATATTTTGGTCAAGGTGACGTCTTCAAAAAGATCTAAAGGTAGAAAAGTTATGACTGAAATTCAATTAAAAGTCCTGATTGTTTCATTGGTGAATTAAAAGTTATCTTTTATTAATATTTAAAGATACTTCAACATATATTTAATAGTTTAATAGTTAAACAGACCATGAAAAACATTGTTGGTTGAAGCACTATGAAACTGGTTTTTATGACACGAGGTTCGTTAAAATTCACATGACATTCACGTGCACGACAAGTTACAGAGGTGGGCAAAATCAGTTTTTAATTGATGAACAGACAAAGATATTATTTATAATTATAAGGTATATAATTAATAAAAAGATCAGAAATTCAGAATCAGAAAAAAAAAACTAATAATAACAGCATGTGAAGTGTTCATTCAAAGAAGCGGTGCATAGTAACTACCATGAACCTCTCCCACGCTATATAAACTCTCCATAATCCATAAATACACAATTAACCAGATTAGAAATTACATACTAATACATCATTACCTGTGAAACACCGACACGGTAAAAACCAACTGCTCAAACTTGCCGAACTGAAACAAATCTCCGGCGACATTTGTATCCTTTGAACGGCGACCGACGAGTAAATACATTAATCTAACAAATTCAATTAACAAGCCCTAAGAGGCTTTCCACACAGACAATCATTGTAAGTAAACGACGACGCTTCAAGGTGGTCGAACCACGAACCCGCCGGAATCGCCCCACACAGATGGTTATGGCTCAGATCAAGATGTCCGACATACGACGCTGATGCTATCGATTCCGGAATTGGACCTTTCAGGTTGTTATACGATAAATCCATCACCATGAAGTAAGATCTAGGTCCGAATGCGTTCGGGATGCTTCCTTCGATACCGTTTTTGCTAAGGTTCAGAATGCTAATGCCGGAGTTCATCAATGACGTTGGTAATTTACCGGAAATCATGTTTCCATCGAGATTCAACGTCGCCAGCACCTTCATTTTTCCAAGCGCTTCAGGAATCGGTCCGGAGATCCGGTTTAACGAGAGATCGAGATCTGAGAGACGATAGATGTAGGAAATGGTGTTCGGAATCTGTCCGGAGATCTGGTTGTTGCTAAGCAAAGCACGACTGAGCATCCTCAGCTTACCGATGTTGATCGGTATAGTTCCTGAGATCAAGTTGTTTCGTAGATCCAAATGCATCAACGAAGATAGATTTGCAATCGACCTCGGGATCCTTCCAGTGATTTTGTTATCCGCCAGGTTTAAAACCGTCAGAAGGCTGAGTTTGCCGATATCGGAAGGGATTTCACCGGAGATTTGGTTTCCGACGAGATCTAGGTGACGGAGGAACGGCAAAGTGGTAATGCAGGAAGGTATAGTACCGGAAATACCCTTCCAATCGGCGATAACTACATTCGATAACCTCTCCAACTTACATAATTCCGGCGAGATTGAACCGGTCATGTACCCGGTCCGCTTCGCCTTCTGAAAAAATCGGATCCTCGGACTCTCCACGAAGCGCTATATCCGCAACCCGTTTAGTAGTCGGGTCGCAAGTAACGCCGTACCATTTGCTACAACAGTCGTTGCCCTTCCACGACTCGAAAATGCCCAAATAAGGTTCGTGTAAAGCAGCTTTGAAGGCCATCAAAGCTGCCCTATCTGACGGCGGGCAGGCATTCACCGTTACACCGACGGCGAGTACCAAAACAGCTGTAAACCACCACCGGAAGCTACCCATTTTTTCACTCTCTATTTTTTTCACACTCACACACTTTCACAATGCACTATGTGTTGTTTGGTTGTTTTAGTTTTGACGTGACAAAACGACGACGTGCATGTACTGGAAGTCTGGAACTAAGAATACCAGGTTTTAAGTGTAGGTGAAGAGAGTAAGGGCGGGATGGGGTTAATATAGTAATGGTGGAGAAGTGAAGTGACGGATTTGCCCCTCACGTGCGCGGAGTAGTTAAGGGTAAAATAGGTCAACGTGGGTAGAGGATAAGACGAATATGGAGATTGAGATATGATTTTAATTTTTAACGAAATAAGGAAGGTGAGAGCCACAACACGTGGAGGGTATTAAGTCGAGGTCGGTAATACGGGTACAAATAGGCCTGACAATTGGGTTGAGTTCGGGTTGGCGGGTCACGGGTTGTCGGGTTGACGGGTAAGATAACATAAACTCAACCCAACCCATATAATATATGGGTTGACGGGTTTGCGGGTCACGGGTTGGTGGGTTGGAAACCTCAACCCAACCCAACCCAACCCATATAACCCGTTTAAGTATATGGGTTCGCGGGTTCACAAGTTAATGGGTTAAACCCAACCCATATAACCCGTTTAATAAATAAACAACACATTTAAAAAAATGAGGTTTTTTCAACATAAATTCATAAAATGATTAAAGTAATTAACATAAAAAAAGGTTTTCAACATAAATTCATAAAACCAATAACATCCAAATAAAAATGAAAAATAAAAACATTCATAGAAAGTGGATGCGTTCTTCGTTCATGACTCGTGAAAATAACGACATGTATTTTTTCTTTTTTTGATTAACGAACCGTAAACGCAGATTAATCACATACGAATACGGAAGGAATACAATGATACAGAATATTACGAATATGGATGGAAATCAAATTTCATTAATAATTAAATATATCATTTTTTTTAATGTAATACGGGTTGGCGGGTTGACCCGCGAACCCAAACAGATAACCCAACCCAACCCATGAAATAAATGGGTTGGTGGGTTGGCGGGTTGACGGATTGGCGGATCAAAAATCTCAACCCAAACCCGTCTATTTTCGGATTGGGTCAGTGTCGGGTTACGGGTTGGGTCGAGAGTTGCCACCCCTAGGTACAAATTTAATAATCTCGACTTAATTTCAAACTATAAATATTTTTTGATGAAGATTAAAAATATGATCTTAAAAGAGTTAAAATTATAAGTGGCAATTTAATAGACGAGATCTTTATATACTATAAAGGAAACATTTTTTCTTTCACCACATTCATTTGAAACTCCCATCATTTTTCCTTTCATCACATTCATTTGAAACTCCAATGACTTTCCATTTCTTTCTAATAATAATTATACGTTGTTTAATAAGGTTAAATAAATATCAAATCTAAAGTGTAATCATATATAAAATAAATTTCAATATTAAAATAATATATTTACTTCTATTTATAAAGTTATGTTTGTTAACTTTTAACATATTATAATTAATTTATTAGTTTTAATATATTGTTGGATGTAAACCATTATCATTTTAAAGATATAATTTTGGAACAATTTTTATAAAATACTTAAATTATTAATTTAAATATAGCATTACAGGCTCAACTTAAATATAAATTTTAGTTTAACTTAAACAACCTAAAAAATATTTTGTAAATAGTTAAAAATGATAAATTGTAGTGTCTTTCTAATAATGAATATAAGTTGATTAATAAGGTTAAATAAATATCAAACCTAAAGTGTAATAATAAATAAACTAAATTTCAATTTTAAAATAATATCTTTACTTCTACTTATAAAGTTATTTCTTTAACTTTTAACATATTATACTTAATTTATTAGATTTAAAATGTTATTACATGTAAATCATTATCAATTTAAAGCTACAACTTTTGAACAGTTTGCGCAAATACTTCAATTCTTAATTTAAATATAACATTAGAGTGTCAACTTAAATATAAATTCCAGTTCCACTTAAAAAACCAAAGAATATTTTGTAACTAGATAAAAGTGATAAATTGTAGTGATAAATGCAAAAACTAAATTGTAATCTCAATTTAACTAAAATATATCCTAAAAATATTTTTATAATCATTAAAAGTTATCAAATAAGTAGCTTAAAATAACTTACAATAATAATAGTTAAAAATAACTCTATATAAATGATTATATTGCTACTTTTAAAATCGAAAAACAATGTTTGATGTTTTAAATAATTATAATGATAGAAATTAAAACATTAGTATCTTTTATAATCGTTAAAAGTTTTCAAATAAGTACCTTAAAATAACTTACAATTAAAAAACAACTCTATATAAATGATTATATTGTTATCCTTAAAATCAAAAAATAATGTTTGATGTTTTAAATAATTATAATGATAGAAATTAAAACATTAAGCAAATAAATTTTAAAAAATTAATTAACAATAACAACAACTATAAATAACATTAAACCGTATATTATATTTGATTTTATTCATGTGTAACTCGCGGGTAGAAGTCATTCAAACGATTGAGATTATGCAGTTATAATAGATGTATATATTATCGTATAAATTCAAAATAATCAATATATTATATCAATTTAGTATACCGAATTATTATATCAAATTTACAACAAGTTTTATTGTATATTAAAAAAACATATATTTGTAAAGATTTCAACTATATAGTTGATTCTGCGCAACGCGAGGGCATTCGCCTAGTCATACATACTTATAAAGTTAACATTTTTTCTTGAATCTCATGCATTTGAAACTCCATTTTTTAACTTCCTCAAACCACATTCATTTGAAACCCCCTTTGTTAACTAATGCAACTCAAAAGTTTTATAACTTATATTATGTTTAATTAGCATTTAGTGAAAAGTTTACTATAAAAAGGCCAATCTTTTGGGAAGACATGTATACAAATCATATACAAATTTCAAAAAGAAAACAAACTTAAAGATTTTTGTGTTGGGTTGAGGTCTTATGACCACTTTTAGATATATGCTATTATATTAGAGATTTTAATTTGTAAGTTTGTTATACTAATTCGTTTTTATATTTTCTTCGTTTTTGGATTATTGTAATACAGTAGTTGTATATTGTGGTTTAATCGTTAATATATTGATCGTATGTTATATAGGGTGATGTCGAAAATATTTTAAATATGTTTTTTTTGTTTTGTAATGTACCGTTCAAAAAAGATAATTAATTAAAAACTCATGCATATGTTATACTTCCATCTCTATCTTCTCTCTCTCTCTCTATGATATTAGATATATATATATATATATAATAATAATAATAATAATAAATATAATAATACCGGTCAAAACACTTCAACCAAAATTCATTTAAAATCTAATATTTCAAATGCTTTTTAATAATGATTGTAAAAATTTCAACATGTGTTACTTAATTGATTGATTAATAAAAATATTAATGTTTTGAAACTCTTAACTCTTAAACTTATTATTTAATTTGTTAGTTAACTAAAATATTTTTCCTACATAAAGATAACATTTAGTTGAGTTACTCATATTTGTTTATGTAATTAGAAAACAAGGTGTACATAGAATGACTATTTAAATTTCACATATGAATCGATACCACTAGAGATGTATGTTGTCTTTAACCGGTGGTAGGAGATCCACATACCCTTTTTAATTATTTATATCAATGCTTAATAATATCTATTTTATATTCCTATTCACCTTAATTTTTTAGGTACAAATTAAGGAAGAGGATTATCGGCGCACCAACATAGAGTCAAATGTACGCCTTGCAAAATATGTACTTAAAATTAAATATCATATTTACTAATCGACTTATTTTAAAACTCTTGATGATATTTATGTATAATGATATATTTTGTATGACTTCATTCTTAATTTCAATGTTTAATATTTGAAAGTTCATATATGAAACCTTTGATGTTTTGGTGTAATATAAATAGTGTAATACAAAGTTTATTAGTTCAATATTGTTTATTAATAGCTCATTCAAAACAACTTATTTCTTATTTTATCCAAAAAATATTATCGGACATAACAAAAGTAGATTATATTAATGTTATACAAAAACTTATAATATATATTGGATATTATAAAAGTAAAACTATATTAGATAGTATCAAAATATAAGTTGATGGATTTTTTTGTTATTATAATTCGGTTAATGCCCAAAGCATGACTAAAAACGTAAATTTCAACATATTTCTATTTTTTTCCATAATTATTTTAACCACTTAAATGCATTCTTGCGCAACGCGCGAGGTTACGCATCGTATACTTATAAATGAAACATTTTTCCTTTCACCACATTCATTTGAAACTCCCATGATTTTTCAATTTCTTTATAATAATGATTATAAGTTGGTTAATAAGATTAAATAAATATCAAACCTAAAGTGTAATCATATATAAACTAAATTTCAATATGAAAAGAATATCTTTACTTCTACTTATAAAGTTATGTTTTTTAACTTTTAACATATTATACTTAATTTATTATTTTTAATATATTGTTGGATGTAAACCATTATCATTTCAAAGCTACAACTTTTTAGCAATTTGCATAAAATACTTAAATTATAAATTTAAATATATCATTACAGAATCAAGTTAAATATAAATTTTAATTTAACTTAAACAACCCAAAGAATATTGTGTAAATAGTTAAAACTGATAAATTGTAGTGTCGTTCTAATAATGATTATAAGTTAAGTTAATAAGGTTAAATAAATATCAAACCTAAAGTGTAATCCTAAATAAACTAAATTTCAATATTAAAAATAATATATTTACTTCTACTTATAAAGTTATATCTTTAACTTTTCACATAATATACTTAATTTATTAGATTTAATATGTTGTTGTATGTAAACCATTATCAATTTAAAACTACAACTTTTGAACAGTTTGAACAAAATACTTAAATTGTTAATTTAAATATAACATTACAGTGTCAACTTAAATATAAATTTCAGTTCCACTTAAAA